GCAATTGCACTACTACGCATGTATCCAAGGGATACAAGTGTGCTGTTTCGAAGGGACACATGCACCCCCATGTTTATAGCAGCACTATCAACAATAGCCAAAGTAAGGAAACAGCCCAGATGTCCATCGATGGATGAATGGATAAAGAAGATGTGGTGTGTATACATACATACATATATATGTATGTATGTACACACACACACACACACACACACACACACACACACAATGGAGTATTACTCGGCAATCAAAAATGAAATCTTGCCATTTGCAACTACATGGATGGAACTGGAGGGTATTATGCTAAGTGAAATTAGAGAAAGACAAATATGACTTCACTCATACAAGGACTTTAAGAGACAAAACAGATGAACATAAGGAAAGGGAAACAAAAATAATATAAAAACAGGGAGGGGGACAAAACAGAAGAGACTCATAAATATGGAGACCAAACAGAGGTTTAAGGGAGGGGTTGTGGGAGGGAGGATGGGATAAATGGGTAAGGGGCACTAAGGAATCTAATTCCTGAAATCATTGTTGCACTATATGCTAACTAATTTGGATGTAAATTAAAAAAAAATAAAAAATAAAATGAAAATAAATAAATAAAAAAACATATAGATACCCAGGGGCACCTGGGTGGCTCAGTCGGTTGCATGTCCATCCAACTCTTGATTTCACGTCAGGTCGTGGGATCCAGGGTTGTGGAATGGAGCCACACGTTGGGCTCTACGATGATCTCTGCCTCTGCCCCCCCCCCCCCCCCCCCCCCGGCTTGTGCTCTCTCTCTCTCTCAAACAAATAAATGTATGTATGTATGTATGTATGTCTGGGACTCACTGCAGATCTTCTAAAACAGCATGTCCAAGGATAAGACCCAAGTTGTTTGAGTTGAGAAATACTGCAGGAATTAAAATGGGAGTGACCACATGTGGATGATAGCAGAGGGAATCCAGCATCTTTCTGTCAGGTGTCTTTTATTTCCAAGTGAAGAGTAGCTGGCATGTATTGTAAAACTTGCAAATAAACAAAGCTGATGAAATCAAATGGGAAAGTTTCATGAAGAAAGTTAGAAAGGGGGACAAGAGAGGTCAGTCTGTGGCTGCATCTTTCGTAGCAAAGGACACAGCCTCATGGACCAGGATGAGCAGAGAATAACGAAACGGAGCAAGCACAGCTGGGCCAGAGTGAGAAAAACAGCTGAGCTGGCAAAGTAAGGATCTGCTCAAAAAACCAGCAAAATTACTGGCTACTGCAAGAGGTGGCGAACCGGCGAGATAAAACGAGGGAGAGGGAGCCGTGGGGCAGATAAAGGAGAAAATTAATTTCATGTTGGAGCCAGGGGCAGGAACAGAATCAGAACGAAGGGGACAAGAGCACTGAGGAAGAAGAGAGGGGCATTATTTGAGATGAGGCGGTGACAGGTTCACCAGGCGAGGACACGAGGACTATGGCCTTTATGGTTCAATAAAAAGTCTCAGTAGCAATATAAAAGTTAGGGGAAGCAAGCAGCAAACAAACCAATTAGGAGAGAAAAGGAAAGGGCTCGTCAAAAATCTTGAAAGACTACAAATAACATGTATAAAACAACAATTTAAGTAGACCAGAATACACTAATTTCTAGATGATGTTGAAAGGTATGTTTCAGACATGTTTCAGCTTTCTCCTTCAATAAAACACAGCTAAAAACAGGTAAAACTAAACAATACAGAGATCCACAAGCTACACAACTCTGAAGAAAGGCAAGGAAGCTAATGAAAGCCTGGGAATAGAAACAGTGGGTGATGACGATCTGTATTTCTTTAGCATGGGTGTATAATTTATTACTGTTCCTTAAAGCTATTAAACTGTGAGGGTGCCGGGTGTCAGTTAAGCATCCAACTCTTGACTTCGGCTCAGGTCGTGACCTCACGGTTGTGGGATTGAGCCCCGCGTCGGGCTCCACGCTGGGTGTGGAGCCTGCTTAAGATTCTCTCTCTCTTTACCTCTGTCCCTCTACGGCTCATGCACACTCACTCTCTCTCATAATACCTACTGTGGTGATCACTGTGCAATATATACATAAGCAAAATCATTATGTTCTACACCTAAAACTAATACAATGTTGTAGGTCAATTATATCTCAATTTAAAAAATACATTCAGATGACACTGATAATGTGCAACCAGGCTGCTCTTATTTACTTTCTTACATAGCACCTGTCCTTAAAAAGATTTTAAGGAAAAACAAAAACAGCACATGGGAGTAGGGAGCGGGGGGGGACAAACGATGAAGGAAGAGTGCAGGGGAAGAGTATGATGCAATAGGGAGCAATGGGGTTTGTTAACAATCTTAGAAGAACGGCTGAGTAAGAATGGGTCAGGTGGAAAAGCTGCGACCTAACCTTTCTTTTCATCTTTTTGGGGGTACGGGGAGGTATTTCAGATAGAACACAACTGGGTTTGTGCTTTGTGTGTCTAGTTGAGTGGCATGGAAGGGGTGGGTTAGTGATGAGGTTAAAAAGGTAGGCAGCTGCCAGCATTTTAGGAGCAACAATTAAAGCTTTATTATAATTTTTTTTCTTTTTCCACATTTGGTAATTATCTGATTATGCTATCAGGTCAGGCTTGTTAAAACCCAATTTCCACCGTATACCTAGATTTAAATGACACATTTTCCTAAATGACTTTTCAGGAACAAGACACTGCCAATGAAAAATTTTAAAGCTCTATTTTAACTGCATTTGGCCACAGAGTAAGAAAACAATTTCAACAGTATCATCATCACGTAAAAAGTTTTAAAAAAAATCTCTTCTATGAAAAGGGACTTCTGAAAGACAAAATGTGCATGGTACTTTCACATTTGTCCTCATTTTATCTCATTACCGAGAGAAGGAAAGGCTAAAAATGACCATTTATCACAAACTAGGGAAAGTGAAAAACAGGAAAAGTAGCGATTTCCTTCATTCTAAGATATGTATTTTTCAGACTACAACTTACATAAAAATCAGGATAGATATCACACGACTGATTTAACATCATCTTTTTTCTGGGAAGGGCCACATTAAATGTATTTTATAACTATGCACGTATTTTGAATTAAGGAAACATAGTAAGGGATTTTGGCCAAAATCAATTAAAAAGGGGGCAAAATCGGGCAAAAAAAACCACCCTGCAGTCAAGTTACTAATGTGTATTAACATGAACCTAGCGGCCTGTCTGGCTATTCTTTCCCGAATTTAACGAAATGTACAGGGCCTTCCTTCCACTAGGCTCTTCCTGAAATGCAAAGCATACTAAGCATCTTCTCTGCCCTCTAGAAGTACATAATCAAATACAGATGACTACAGAAGCATCTATGAAACAGTCTGGCATTAATATCAGAAAAATATGAAGTGTGACACATCCAGATAAGGAGTAGAAGTCATTGCCAGCCAGGATACCAGAAAAAACCTGAGACGTCAAAAGAGCTTAATATATGTGAAAGCATTATGGGAGACCTGGGTTAGACTTTGAAGGACTGATGGAATTTCCACACAGAAGGCACTCCAAGCAGAGGGAGCAGTAGGAACCAGGAAAGAGCACAGAAATCATCCACTGGGCCTCACTGGCAGAAGGTAAGAATAGTGGGAAAGAAGGCTAGCAAAGTAAAGGGAGGCTAAAATATGGAGTTCCTGGAAAGTCAACTAAAGAATGTGAGCAGACAACAGTCTCCCCTAACAGCCAGGTTTCAGGAATATGAAACTGACAGTAAACTACAGAGACTGGAATGGGGAGAAAGTACTGCTGCATAGTCCAGAGTCAAGTATTCAGGGCCTGAAGTCGGTGAGGACGATAGCAAAAGTCAAGAAAGGAATGTCTTCCCTTTAAACCGCCTGGGGTTGTTTTTAAATGAGGGCAATTCCAAGAGCACAGAGCACCAGCTTGCTAATCTGCGCAGCTCCACGACTCCCAGCACAACACCCCACGCACAGTAGATGCTCAATAAATAAGCTGAAGGAAGGCAACCTGCAAAGGCTAATTTGCTAAATGTCCATAATCACTCTTCTTTCTACTTCTCGCATTCATATAGTTACTTCCTCTCCAACTTGGGTTTACAGCCTAAATAAAAATTTTCCAATAGGTGTTGGACCCAATTACTTCTCCTTCAAAATACGCGACAGCTTTTTAAAAGTATGTAAACTTGCTACTGAGCATTTGCAAAACACTGCTCTACCCAGGACTTTACACAGAAAACCATCCAGACTCCATAAAGACACATATCAAAAGATCTTGCTAAAAAGGAGTATTTACAGCAGCAAGTTTTTCTTCTGGGCCACAATCAACATGCTTCTTATCTAAGTGAATTTGCTACATCACTAGTGCAACCACAAACTGCTGCTTACATTTCCAAAGTTGTGCAAAGGGCCCAAAGTTGTGCAAGAGTCCTCACTGAAATCAGACTCTGGTATATAAATAGTTATAACACCTGAACAAGCCTTGGTTTTATTATTAGATTCAAAGTAATGCCAAAATCACAAGTATTAAAAAATATTTTACGAGTTTATTTGTCTGTGAAATATACTCAGAGGTTATTTCAAGTGAAAATAGCTGAATTTCTTTCTGCTTCAAATGTACATCAGGTCATCTGAAAATTGGCAGTCGTGACCCTGCCCCTGATATACCCAAGAAATCAGTGTCCCTGACACACACAGGCACACGCACGCGAGCACACACCCAGAGCACTGAACGGCCTTTCATCACTATCAGATAACCCCAGTTTACACGTGGCAAAAGTCGACAGAACTTTCACGCTTTAATGACCTCGAAAGGGATTCCCCAGCCGCCCAGGTAATGGAACGTGACTTACTCTGACTTGGGATTTGAGAGTGTTAAAAAAAAAAAAATTTAAAAAAAATGTTCTGTTCTCTCTTTCTCAGCTGGCTGTCCCACAGCACGAGCAGTTTGCCCAGCCCCTGACAGATGCGTGTAGGCTGAAGAAGGTGGGACCGATCAGGAAACCCAAGACCCTCCTCCCATCACCTCCTCTGCCTCCCTTTTTCTCTCCCGAGGGCGGCGAAGAGGCCCAAGGTGAGGGGCGGCGAAAGAGTGCAATCATCTAAGTCAGGCCCTGGCGGCCCTCGGCTGGGCCCGTTCCCAGATCTTGAGTCGCAAACGGCTGCCGAGGCCCCCGACTGCAGGGCAGCCCGGGGCGGGGGCCGCGGCCC